CAATTACTCATTATTGTTGCCGTAACGTGACCGTCTTATATACACAAGACTACCCCATATCTAGTAGGCTCTCGAGATTTCAGGAAGGGACGTGAACGTTCGAGAAGACGACGTGTTACTAGGGTCACGTGACCTCCGCTGTCGTAACAGAACTTATTAAAATAAGATTCTAAATTAGGACAACAAAGAACTCATAATCAAAGCAAAATAATCAGAACAGCAGCCATTTTTAGCTCATAGTATAAACGTAAAAATAAAGAAACAACAAATATCTATTAAATCTATAAAGTAACAAATATATATTAATTATTACTCAAATTATTATTTCAATTATTCAAGCGTCTATATGCAAAGAAAAGCAAAAAACTGTGCTTTTTATGATTAAGTGAAGATATAGCCTAAAGGTGCTTTACGGCATAACCAGGTTTCATTCGCCCGGGCTCCAGGGCAGTTGCCCCTTTTGCCCCCCCCCCCTGTCTGCGGGCCTGGTTAAAGGAAAATATGATTGATGAACAAGATGATCATATTAATTTTAAGCATGTTAAAATCAAGTTTGAAAGTTTAAAGATTGGCAACTCTGCTGGAACAAAAACTATTTCTCCAAGTGTTTTGAAGGAGATTAAAGATCACTTATGTGAACAACTTGCTAATAGTTTACGTAAGTCCTTGAGTAGTGGGAAGATACCAAAGAATTAGACGATGGCATGTGTTACTTGGAAGTGATAAAATTTATCCAGGTAATCATAAGCCTATTAGTCTTACATCAGTTGTGGGAAATTTTTAACATCATAGAAAAGATGCATTCCAGGGAGATTTAACAAAGTTAATGTATTTTCCTTGCCAACATGGTTTTAATAGGGGAAACTTTTATCTTACTAATCTCCTGACACTTTTAAAGAGGTTGCTGTTTATATTGATGAGTATAAATATGTGAATTTGGTATAACTAGATTTTCAGAAAACATCTGAAAAGGTGCTATTCAAAAGGGTTCTTAAAAATTATTTCTCTAAGTGTAGGAAATACATTAGTTCGTTGGATCAAGATATGGGTAGATGGAAGAAATCAGAGGGTTGTTTCAATGAAGTTCATTCAAACCGGATTAATGTTACTAGTGGGGAATCTTAGAGTTCGGTGTTGGGAATTTATTTATTTATATCAATGACATAGATAAAAGAATGGTCAATAAAATGATTACATATGATGATTATTTTATTGTCTCGGATATTGCCAGCTGTAAAGACAGTGCTGTTGCTACTTTAAATAAGGATTTAAATTAATTGGTAAGTTGGGCAAGTAAATGGAAGATAGCTTTTAATTATAATAAACAATTTGAATTATGAGTATAATTTTGATAGAAATAATCTTAACAGTGTTATGGAAGAAAATAATTTTGGTTATCTGGTTGATCAGTCTCTTAAGCCATCCAAGCAATATCCCATTGCTAGTGGCAAAGCAAATAGAATTTTAGGTTATATCTACAGAAATATTAAATACAATTCTCACGAAGCTACAATATCATTGTATAAGTCAGAAAGGACACTGAATTGTTGGAAAGGGTTCAAAGGATGTCTATTAGAATGATACCTGGGATAGAAAGGTTGCCATATCTCTGAAATTATTTTCTCTTGCAGAAAGAAGAGGTATAGGGGATTTGATTGGAATATTCTAGATTATTAAGGAAATTGATAGTATCAATGCATCATATTTTTTCATACTTAATGAAAGAGTATGGTAATGTTACGTCTTCGTTCGTTCGTTAATTAATTTTCCGTAAATTCGTTCCAACGAAACTTTAGCGACACAAGTCCTTTCTTAAATAAAACTGGTTTATTCTCTCCGAATACAACTTTACCGATACACTTATGTCAACAGTCGCTCTATAACAAACGCTATAATTCTCAAAGAACGTCTCACGTGCTCGTCCTCGACAATACTCAGTTCAATTACACATTCTCTGACTGCAGTTCAATTACTCACTGTTCCGTCACGTTGTGACCGTCTTATATATACCAGACTACCCCCAATCTAGTAGTCTCCCGATAATTCACGAAGGTTTGAGAAGGACGTGGCATGATACTAGTCACGTGACCTCGCTGACGCAACAGTAAGATAAATGAACAAATATAAACTTTGGCAGAGTAGCAATCTTTTTCAACTGAGTTTTACTTTTATAAAATTCGTTTTGAATGTGTTGCCTTCAGACGCAGTGGATACAGTACATACGTAAATTATCAAGGGTGAATATGAGTGTTTTTTATGTGGATGAGACACCATCAGGCCCTTTGTTGTCCCTTAAATGTTATATTAAGATTATCCTGACTGGTTACTACTTTGAAGATTATCTTTAAAGGCTCAATTTCACTGATACACGATTACATTTTGCTTTCGAACCGCGTACAAGAAAAAAAAATTAATATAATCAAATTCACCGTTTTCAGGCTGGTAAAATATTAACAGTAAAATAGTTTGGTGGTTGAATCTTAAATATATGGTCTTCCTGGAAAACATTAGTCCTCATCTGTGTTTGTTATTGTTAAAATAAAAAATTTGTGCTCTGTAATGTATCCAAAATCCAAAAATATCTACTTTAAGGAAAATTTTAATATGCAAGTTAGCCAGAGTAACGCTATATACAGCGAGGAATTTTTTTTTTCTTCGTAGCTCCGCAAGAAACAAGAAAAATTCTGATAGATGAAAAGGTAAAGAGGGATAATGTTGGCTTTTCTTAGTCTTTTTTTGTTGTTGTTGTTGTTGAAATAACCTAGAAGAAGGCTAGTTTTGTGCAAATTCAGACGCTTTTTAGACCTGTGTTTAGTCATTTGACTATATTCATGTTGAAAAATTAGTTACTTTCCAGATGCATTTTCTTTTCTTTTCTTTTAACAGAAAGCAAAACTTTCTCGTAACCAACCAGGCAGTAGAAACATTGATTGTTTTCCAGGCTTAAATGTCATAAAAGTTATTTTGATGGTTGCTGTAAGAATTCGAATAATGAAAGAAACTTATTTTTTTGTGTGTGTGTCCGTTCTATTTTAAAACCTGACACTTATCCATGTTATTTAATTGCAATAGAAAAATGTTGTAAAGAGGATTATACGCTGGCTGAGGGTACATTCAATTTTCAGTTAGTAAAGATAAAAAATAATGTTATATTGTTACTTGTAGTATGGGCTAACCAGTGACAAAATATGACGAACAAACACTGCGCAGATTGGGAGAACTAAATATGCCAAACGGGCTTAATTTGCTCAAGTCGTCAGATTAGTGACATATTCAAAGGGGTCTAGGCATCTAGTAATTAAAGAAATCTAAATTTTCCGAATGAAATTATAACAGTCTATAAATAGGTAAGGTTTTTCAAGATGTTATTTTCACACTTTTCCATCTTACTTTCTGGAATCCAACCTCCCATGTGTACCAAATCTTGAAGACCTTATGTGGACCAATGTTATTTGAGCAACTTGTATATAAACTGTTTTTCCAAACCGGATTTTGGATGTACACAGATTACAATTCCGCGGTTCATATGCCCCCCCCCCCACTCCCCAGATCTCAGCGGGTTTCAATATCTCTAGTTGGCAGAGCACAGGTTTCCCATTGTTTAGCTTTGAG